ACCCACACTGGCGTTAATCGCGTTGGGCTGATGGGGGCCACTCATGGGTGTGTGGCTCTGTGGAGCATGCTGTCCCTAGGCTGTGGTGTCCACTGTGATGGGGCTTGTGACCCTTCTCTGAGGGTGTAACTGCAGGGACACAACTCGGTCTGTCACCAGTGAGGACACCACCCTGCTGCAGCATCCCTGGGGGTGCTGCCATGGGTTGTTGTAGCTGACCTGGCTGTGATCCATGGCTGTGCTGACTCAGAGCAGGTGACCTCACCATGGGCCCGGGCAGACTGGGGGGACTGAGCCCCTGCAGCAGGGTGTGAAGTGGACATGCAGCCCTGCATTCTGCGCAGCTCTAGGTGAAGGGATGCACCTGGGACAGCCACAGCTGGCCCTCGATGAGAGTTTGCTTCTGACTGGAGGCTCCAGGCTGGGTTGGTCTCTGCTTGGCCAGCTTGGGATGATGATGCTTCTGGACCCTGGGGGCTGAGCCCTTCTCCTAGGAGTGCTGAGCGCATCAAACCATCTTTGTTCCCAGGGGTTCCCCAGTGCCTGCCAGCTGGTACATCCTTCCCTAAACCTCTGCCCTTCCCCAGCCCCAACCCTCCAGCCTGGTGTGAGCAAGGTGGATGCACGCAGCTGGCTGTGTTTGCTTTATTTTCATGGGCCCCTGCATTTAAGCCCTATATGGCACCTGTTACTTGTTTACCTCTTCTGCACTATAATATTTCTTGTTTCTGTCCTCCCATTTCCTGGTGGAGATTTTTGGGTGGTCACAGAGCACTTTGTTGTGGTGCCTATGGGACTGCTGCGTGTGCCTCTGGGGCTGGTGGCACACAGAAGTGGTTTCGCATCACATGGCTGATCATAACAGGGAGGGCTGGTTGACACAAGCCTGCCCTGTGGGCCATTGGGAAACGGCATTTCCTTCACGGAGCACATGCTACAGTGTTCGATTATGTGGCACGGGTCCAGCTGCTTCATTTTAGAGCAATTTAAATATTCTCGTTGCAGCTTTGGTAAACCACTGTAGCTTTGGCTGCCATGCTTTGGCTGCAACTGTGCATAAGGAATGATAAAGCCCTTTAAACCATCCAGGATTTTCTTAAACAGTTGGTCCGTGGCTATCTGGTAATCAGATTGCACTGCAGCATTTCCAATCTTTTAATTTGTGTTTCTAGCAAGTGGTGGCCTTTTCACCAAGCACTGGTTTCCAGGAAGTTTGAAGGGGAGGATTGCGCCAAAACATGGTCCATGGGAGAGTTCTTGGAATTAAAGGCAACTTCTGTATCCTGCCTCCTTTATAAAAGACTGCTCTTGTCCCTGTCATGAGCATAAAGCTGGATAATTTCTATGTGTGGAAGAGTAGAGAAGAGTGGAGAGGGGTTTTTTGTGTGGTTTGGGTTTTGTGTTTGGTTTTTTGGTGGGGTTTTGTTTGTTTGTTTGTTTGTTTTTAGGGATTCCCTCTGTAGAAAGAAAGCCAGGACAATTAGAAAACTCCTAGACAGAAAGTGATAGGAAAGACATTTCAACAAGCATCTGAAATGCTACCACATCTCCAGTTATCAATGGAGTGAGTCATGTATAATATTCCAAAGGGGGTTTTGTGAATAAAACACTGGGTTGCGATGATTTTTTCCTTTGCTGTGGATTTTCTCTGTGACTTGGAGGAAGTGGCAGCAGTGCAGATTTTCGAACTGGAGAGCATTACTCAAGTTTTAAGCACTTAACTTGTATTTTTTGTGTTCTTCAAGTCACATCTGAGGATGAGAGCGAAGATGCCGAGCTACCTCAAGTGATGTGCGCATAATGGAGAGGATTCTGAATCTGTGCCCCTTCCTGGAAATGTTTCTTTTAACGAGTTGGCATTGAAACTACATTTATACAGGCTGAATCTGGACAAAAGCCTTTTTTTTTCCACTGTGGCATCTAACTGGAAAATCTGGATATGGTTTGCTGTCAGCAGCAAGTAGTTGCTGCGATTAGAGACAAGTTATTAAAGAAGAGGAAATAAGTGGTGCATATGATAGCCCATTAGCAAAGGGCAGTGAGCAGGATTTTCGTACTCCAGGATGAGTTTGGGGAATTTTGCTCTCAGGGAAGGAGGAGGAGAGGAAGCTTGGTGGGGAAGGGCTGGAAACAGCAGAAGCTGATGTGCGGTCAGGAGACCTCTCCTTCCTCTGACATCTGTGAGGTGCTGTCTTTCCAGAAATTCAAGCTCATCTCAGGCTGGGGAATGTCATGGCAGAAAATGTAGAGTTATTTGAGCATTGCTAACCTGTTTTTGCCTTTTTCATTTTGTTCCCCTTTGCTTTATCCTGGATGTCTAAAAGGACAGTTGGAACCAATAAATGAGGTGAGTTAATCTGATGATTCACTCTCTGTCTCCTCGCTCCATCCTGGGGGGATTGTCTCATATTTTCTGACTCTATTCTCATGTCCTAATGCACCACGTTTTGGGCTGGTATTTTTCTTTCTAATGTTCAGATTTTGTTTATGGAAAAAACTGTGCGTTTTACTGGAGCAAAAAGAAATGTTCCCGTGGAGTCTTCTCTGCAGGTCTGCGTTCCCCAGAGGAAACCCCTTTGTGTGGTGCGATAGTGCCTTTGTATCTGCACACTCGAAACTACTGCAAATGCCTCGAGTATTTTGAGGGGATACTATGGAGAAATTATCTTTATGCTTTATTTCTTCATCTTCTTAGGGACATTTCAAGGTCACGTACAATCGTGAAGTGATTTGAGGCTGGATGTGCACGTGCTGTGCTCTAGCAGCTGTGTGTCTCCTTCCCATGACTATGAAGGGATGCCTTTTATTAGTAGTGCCCTTCTGCTGCTTAATGGCCCTTACAAACTGCAGAAGTTGGAGCTGGCACGGGTGGGAAATGGGCTAAGTTTTGGCTTTCTGCTTCTCGTGAAGCAAGCAGAGCTCTGAAGTGGAGGAAAGGCTGTAGGGATGACATGGAAATGAGGCAGCAGCCTATTGCCCCTCCAATGGGGTGTTCACACCCCATGTTTCTGAGTCAAGTAACTTCTTAAAAAAGTCACTGAATGTTCTTCATTAAATTAATCATCATAGCAGAAGAGAGACATGTGGATTGCATGCTTTCGCTAACCCATTTTAGTGTCAAGTTTGTTGGGTTACAATGCTGCATGTGTGTGGATCACACAAATATTGTGTGCTGATACATCTACAGGGACAAAATGCATTCACATTGCTGTGTTAAGTTTTCCAAGTTAAATGGATGCTTCCCAGATTAAATCAGAGCTTTCACTTACCTTCTGTTTTCAGTTCCTTCTGTTGTACATTTCCCAATCTATTAGTTTGTTGACGTGCGTGAAAGAATAAGCATGTTTCCACTCTAGCATATTGTTGTGCCATAGTGTTTGTAAATCACCCTCTTGCCAACCTACATAATAATACATTGCTACTAGAGGGAAAATACCTGTGGTGAATGCTTATTTTCCTGTCTTGTTATGGCATCAGTGAAGTTGGGCTGGTAACTGCATAGCACTTGTTTTTTGATGTAGATGGAATAAATATAGTTCTTAATGTTCTGTTGCAGAAACACAAACATAAATACAGCTGAATGTTATTTCTCAATAGCTATTGATGGGTTGTAATCGTGTACTTTGGTTTCCAATGGCTTCAGGGACTGCTCTCTAGAATCTTGGATCTCTTGCTGTGCCGGTGGACTTGTAGAAATTGTTGTCAGAAGTGTTTCGACTGTAGCTGTTGTCAAACAAATGAAGATGAAGTTGAAATCCTGGGACCTTTTCCTGCTCAAACTCCAGCTTGGCTGTAAGTTTAGATGCACAATTTCCTAGCTTTACCTGAGGAGTAGGGCTGCTCAGCTGTGATGTGAGCATTGATACGAAATGGTGATAGGGCATTCAGAGAAGTAGAAAGGAGGAACCTCCTGCTGAGGGTGGGAGCATAGGCTGCTCAACTACAAGGTGAAAAAGGGCAGCCCTGTTAGCTGAGATATTAAGGTTAATCTTTGTAAAACACTTTGCTGATGAGTAAGACAGAAGTTTTTTTGTAAGATAGCATAGCAAGCTATCTGGTTTAGCTGTGCACCCTTTTCTAAAGTTGCTTTTCATCTTCACTCCTGTTTCTTCTTCAAATGGACCACCTGTTTGGAGCACATCAACTTAGCTGAAATGCTGATGAGGTTGTTTTGAAATATTTTCTTATCCTAGCATAAAGGTAGTTATCATATAAGCAGATGAAAGGGGTACTTCATATGTGCTCCAAAGGGGAAATTAATTTAAAGTTTCATTTAGCAAGGCCTAATCTCCTGCGTCATCTGGTACTCTTCAAGATTTCCTCTTGAATCATTAAAGAACAACAGCAGCAGTGCCAGGTTTTATCTGGGACTTTGATTAGTGTATTTGCAAATCTATCACAAAGAAAGTCAGTGACTAAGTCTTCCCTGTTTTACTCCCTCTTATTTGGGAATCTGCAGCACAGAGGTGACCCCGTGGAGACACTAGTGAAACCAAGAGGGGAGCAGATGTCTCCTGTCTTTTGGCAGCTGCTCTGGGCGGTCTTCTGTGAGAGCAGATAGTTCGATGGACAGAGCTTCAGTGTGTATAGAAGCTGTGGCACAAGTGATGCCCATTTAGTGCCTCATGTGATGCTCAGAAGTTGGTACCCAGGCACTGAGACACTCCGTTAATTGTGCCTTTGAGTACTGACTGTTACTGTATGTCAGATCTGCAATGTCCTTGTCTTGGCGCCGAATTGCATAAATTGTCTCATATTAAAATTACAGTCTTGTCTATATACTCTTTTGAATCCAGGTAGAATACAATGGTAATTAATACCAAAGCAATAAAAATAGAGATGTTCAAGCTGCGTTAGAGTGGTTTTTAAATGTGGAGCAGCATATTTAAGAATCTGATATATGCCTAGAAATTAATTCACCTGCAGTTAATGGGAAATGAAATAAACAGAATCAATGCTAAATAGGAAAGCACTGCGCACAGGAGAACACAGTGATGAGGCTGCAGTATTGGACGTAGAAGGATTGCTGCAGGAGCGATTACATACTTGGAAGCAAGTAGTGAGGCTTGTTGTGAGAGGATGCTTTGGAGTTTCTCTGGTGTGCTGAGGAGCAGGAGGGATGTGGTGTGTGTTTGGGGGTGTGGAGTGACTGACCCATGGTGTCGCTTTTGACTGCTGAGTCCTTCTGCTGGCTGAAAGGGCATTGTAAGCACTGAAGCTCTGTTCCTCGTTTGGTCTTGAACCTCGGGTGTATGGTGACTTTGCAGATGAACTGGACTTTGCAGATGAACTGGACTTTGCTACAGGCAGAGAACATGGAGACCTTTGGACTCATAACATGCTATCTGTCTCCAGTCTGTATTGTTTTGCCCCAGACCTGCTCGATTAACTTACTGGAATGGCTGTAAGCAGAAGACAACACACTCTGAAAAAAACCTCAGTTTTTTAACCATGTTGTGCTTCGTGCTGCACCTACTCGTGCTAGCAGCCCTGATGGTGTCAGAGGATCCCAGCCTGGGTCACATATCCATCTTTCCTTCCAGCTTCAGGCGATTGGGTGCAGTTTGTGTCTCCCTGTTCTGCCCCAGTGCTGAGAGGAGGTGAGTTCCCAGGGTTAATGCCCCAGAGAGGCAGCAGGAGCCAAAGGAGAGGGCACATCACAGAAGCAGCTTTGCTTTGCATGGGGGCATGGATGAAGTCACCATCTCACCTGGCAGAGTTGCAAGTCCTGTGATCTCTAAGGATGCCTGGTAGCACGTGGTGGTATGGAAGCTGGAGGTCAGGCATTACTTGCTTGGGAAGGCTGCTAGCTTCCTTCTCAGCAGAGATGAGGGTGGTACCAGGGTGGTACCAGGGAAGATGGCCGTGGTTTAAGCTTGGAGTGACTTTGTTAGAAAATGGTGAGGAAGCCCAGAAAGGAGTCGAGTGAGGAGAGGCAAGAGAGCAGAGGAGGGAGAAGGAAAGGAACTTGGGGGTTGTGATGGAGAGGAGAGGGGGAGAAGATGAACCTGTAGAGGAACAAGATCCTGGAAGATGAAGAGAAAAGGAGAATGAAAGGCAGGAGACAGAAAGGGTGGTTTTTGTTTGCTGATCAATAGGATGGCAGTGGTTTTTCTGTGTGCAGGTTTAAGGTGGAAGCGATCACATACAGCCTCTACTGGCTCAGAGTTCAGAAGCAGAAGAAGATTTCACTATGTTGATCTTATATCTCCTTATGTATTTTTGGAGATAGGAAACAATGTCTGGAGTTAGATGTGTGAACAGAGTAAAGGTTTAGAATTTGTCTTAGAATAAGGTGCTTGATGGGTGTGTTTTTAAGTTCTTGGAGATCTTCGTATGCCAATTGATTCCCCTCGTCTTTTTTTGTTTTGTTTTGTTTTTGGAAAGGCAGCTTTTGGATTCAGTGAATACCCCGAAACTGGAAGACAAATATGACGCCACCATACTCTGCATTTAGATGCATACATTGAATTTGGGAACAAATCAATTTATTATTTATTCCCTGCTCACAGCCTGAAAGTGTTTTAAAAATAGATCTGTTTTTTAGCTGACATCTGTCCTTCTTGCCACTTCTTCATGGGCCCAGGCAATTTGCTCCTTACCTCTCCACCCAGTCGCCAGGGCAAAACTGCTTTTATGGTCTTCATTTACCAACTAGCAAACACCCAAATGCCTGTGCTTAACAATCCGTCCTTTATTTTTTGCCCACAGGTTTTCCCTTTGTCAGCTCTAAGACACCTCATTGTCCTGGAAATTCAGGAGGGGAAGTTAAAGCTGGAAGTTTAAGCCCTTCTTCTTGGGAGGCTCTTGATTTTTCTTACTTTCCAAATTTTTTACAGTAAGAACTTAGGAAAAAAAATTTCTTACTGAAGTGAGTCTAATGGTATTGACCTGAATACATGGTGGCTTCTTGTTATTTCATGAGGATTGCTTGTAGCCTGGCCTTTTTAGAAATGGGCTGGGAACAAGCGTGTGTGTTGGAGCTGCCCACTGTGAAATATTGCATATAAACCTCAAAGAACCCTCACGCTCTGTGAGACTGAATGGAAATCAGGATGCGACTCCCCTTCCCAAAGGTTTGAATTAAATAGAAACAGAGCTGCTTTAACCAGAGCCAAAGTTTATTTGAAGAAAAATTATTGTGCCTCAGTAGCAATTTCCTTGCTAAAGGTCATCTGTATATTATTAGCTCACTATTACGTTTGCCCATTGTAAAACATCCTTAATGCCTCTCTCTGATTCCCTTTTCACCCTGTCCTCCCCTTGCTCTGTGCATTTGCTTCTCAAACAGCAGTGTATCCAAATGCTACCTGTGATAGTGTAGCCCTACATTTAGGCATGATAAAGCTATTTGTGTTCCAAGTACTGATCAAATGTCAAACTGCGTAATTTGTGCTACCTTTAATGGACTACAGAGGTGTGCAAATATTGTATGTCCCTGTTAGTATAAGGTTTGCTTTTGATTATTAGCAGTTTAGTTTTTAATGTGGATGAGTTGTGTGACTCTGGATTGGTGAGATTTGGATGGATCCTGCTGTGAACTTTGTGAATTTGGTTAAGAATTTCCAGTTTAAATCTATTTTATACTGTGGAGGGGTGCATTTCTGTGAGTTTACTGCTTTTTGCAGAATATATTTATTGCTCTACTCCAGTCATTGATTACTAAAGCAAATGATTGAACATATTTCATTTACACCCAGCCGAGCCATGAACGTAGAAAGGGTGAATCAGAAGCAAAACTCAGTTTTTCCCCTTTGCTTTGCTCATTTCGTGCTGACTATTTCCTTGTGATCTGCTGCTATTTTTTTTAATACTCTATCTCATGGATTAACCATAAGGTTTAGTTTGCATGATGCTTTACACATCACATACCGTCGCGTGACTTCACTTCCGTCGGCAGCCGCTCCCCTCTGAACAGGCAGTTGGAGACTTCATCTCCTGTAAGTGTTACTGTCTGCTCTTGGGCTTCTTTCAGTCAAGGCTGGGAGGTCCCGGCTGGTGTGAGCTACTGGGGCTGTGACGTACTGAGGTTTTTAACCAGAATGTTGTTTTATATGAAAACAGCATATGTGAACTGAAATGAGAATTACACATGGACTTCTTTATGATGCCAGTTTCCTGTTGGGTCCTCTCAGAGGTGCCGCAGCTCTCACTACAACTTGCTGTGTTACTTAGATCCTGCCAACTTCCCTGCTCCCACTGACACCCCTGGGCAGTAAAACTGCTATCTAGTGAGAATCACCTCTGCTTTATAGAAATGGATAAAAAGTAGCCAATTATTTAAAAACACATGCCAATAAATCGCTGTTAATTAAGTGTATTTTTAAGATTGAGTTTTGAAACGTTAGTGGTGAACCCGCAAAACAATATTTTGCTGAGGTGTGTGATAGGTTTGAGATGACTGAGCATGGTGGTTTCCTGTGCGGGTTCATTCCTAGTGAAGGCCATGCTTTACAGCAATAAGCTACTGTTCGGGTTTTGTGGTTTGTGGGTATTTTTTTTTCTCTTTCTTTTTTCTTAAAGACAAATGTAATACTTTTGATCAAGATCCGAGCCACATGTGCCTGTGTGGCCTGTATCATGCACTAATACTGATACAACTGTTTGAAAGACAGGCAGAAAGATAAAGAATCTGTTTTTTACATAGATCTGAAGTCAGTTGCTCAGCCTTTTGCTTGCCAAATAGATCAGGAGATACCCTGCAGCATCCAGGGATGTGCACTCAGGATTAGACCCAGAATATCAGAAAGCATTTTTATTCTGTATATACTCCTTTTGCTGGGTTGAATCACCCAAAGGTCTCTCTTTATAACAGAATAAGCAGCCAAAATGAGGACAAAGATGAAGACTCTGATAATACAATCAGTGAGCTGCCTCCCACTCTTCAGGATGTTTCCTCTGACAGAAGGCGGTCGTCTTCAGATACATCACGGTCCACTTACAGCCTCATGAGGCGGATTTCAAGTAAGGTCGTTCTTCCGACATTAATGTAATTATTGTGGGGAAGAAAATAAAACTGTAGTATTTGCTCTTTCATCTTTTAGACAGGGAATCAAGTCAAGTTGATGGTACATTGATTAAAATCTCATCCTGTTCTGTAGGAACACAGTGAAGGGGCCAGCCCTGTTTCTCTTGCTGAAGCATGTGCATGGTAATTGCATGTGAAGATGAATGGGGGGGAAAGTGTAGCTGAGCTTGCACTTCAGCATAACTAAGGTGCTATTAATTGTTGTCAGTGTGATGGTGAAAAGTCCCGCTGGAGAGTGCTGTGCTGGGCATTGCACAGACACAGAACAGCTGTACCCAAAGAACCACAAGTTGACTTGCACCTGCAATGGCTTCACTTGAGTTTCTAATAATCGTATTCATGCATTTCTCTTGTTTAGGTTTGGAATCAAGGAGGCCAAGTTCTCCGTTAATTGACATTAAACCTATGGAGTTTGGAGTAATAGGAGCTAAGAAAGAAATAGTTCAGCCAACTATCCTGCGAAAAACCTATACCCCAGATGACTATTTTAGAAAATTTGAACCAAGACTATACTCTCTTGACTCGAATAGCGATGATATGGACTCCTTGACAGATGAGGAGATCTTATTGAAGTATCAGCTGGGCATGCTGCATTTTAGCACTCAGTACGACCTGTTGCATAATTATCTAATAGTCCGAGTCATTGAGGCTAAAGATCTGCCCCCTCCAATTTCTTACGATGGTTCAAAGCAAGACATGGCTCACTCCAACCCCTACGTGAAGATCTGCCTTCTTCCTGACCAGAAGAACTCCAAGCAGACTGGAGTGAAACGCAAAACGCAGAACCCGGTGTTTGAAGAGAGGTACACCTTTGAAATCCCCTTTTTAGAAGCTCAGAGAAGAACTCTGCTTTTAACTGTAGTGGATTTTGACAAATTCTCACGCCATTGTGTTATTGGCAAAGTGTCAATGCCCTTGAGCGATGTAGACCTTGTGAAAGGCGGACACTGGTGGAAAGCCCTGGTCCCTAGTTCTCAGGTAACAGTATTTTCAGATTATTGCCACAGGTTATTTTTTGTGCAGTTCCTTTGCTTGTTGGCAAGTAATGCAATTTCTAATTAGTCATCGTCATCTTGTTAATACAGCATCTGCTGGGTTGAAATACAGTGGGGCCTGTAACTGTTCTTACAACTAATACTGTGAGGTAGAGGAGCTGTCCTATTTCATATTCAAAGGAGATGCCATGACAAAAGATCCTATGTTAGTTAGATCTAATGAGAATAAATCAAGGCTGCTCTGGAAACCTGCACCTTTTGGGAGATCTTTCTTGTCACTGCAGTGATCTGCATCCATTCCCAGCCACTGCAGTGACTCTGTCCAATCTGGGTCACTCTTGTGGTTGTTAACATGACTGTGCTTTAGGGACATGAGGGGAACACTGGTGCCAGTTCAGTCATGATTTGATTCAAGAAAGTGTATAGAAGACAAAATCTCTACAGATCTATGGCATAAAGTGTGAGCCAAAAATTGCAGGATAGATCTGTTTTCATCACGTCCCTGAAGGAATTAAACTTGCCATACGTTTTGTCTGATATGTGGCATGCTGCATGCATGCAAGTTTGAGCATGCATTTTGCACTACATTCAACCATCTGATGGGATAGGAGGAGAAGGTGAAGAGGGTCTGTTCTCAGGATAGGACCTTGGTTGGTGCCACCTTGTCTCTAGCCAGGAAAAGAGCTGTTCAATGGGAAATTCTGAACTTTACAACCAGAAACAGCAGTTAGCTGCTAAATTTTATACTAGCTGTATCACCCACATAGCTAGAGGCATAGAATCCTGTGAAAACTAAGAGCCTGCCATGAGCATCATCTCAAACATTAGTGCTGAGGACAGGAGTACCACTCGAGGTTGGTATAACATGATTGGTTCTCCCAGTTCCTCGCCAGCTCTGAGATTGCAATTTCTACATATTAGAGCCTTTGCTGAATCAAAATTCTTTGTGAACTTGGATAGTTCACAGTTTCTTTGATTTTTGTGTGTTCACGGAAG